CCTCTCTCCCTCTGTTCCTTTCCCTTCCCTTCTTTCCCTCTCTCTTCCCCCCTCCCTTCCTTCCGCACAGCACTTGGGTTTGAACTCAGGGCTTCATGCTTGCTCATCTGGCACTCTACTCCTTGAGTCATTCCGCCAGACATTGTGCATTGGTTGTTATTTCTCTCCCTAAACCCAGGCCAGCTTGGATACTGTGATCCTCCTATTTGTGCTTTCCTTTGTCATTGGTTGAGATAGTCTCTCAAACTTTTATGGCCTCCCATGGAGCTCTGCCTCCCATGTAGCTAAGATTACAGGCCTGAGCCACCCCTCCTGGCTGCTGGTCTGTCTTCTTAGGTGTTCAGATACTCTTCCCCCTCGTTCACGCCTCTTCACAGTGACCTCCTGGCTAGCCCACAAATGTGACAAGCCCACTGGACCTCAGGGCCTTTGCACTTGCAGTTTCTTGTGCCTGGAACATTCTCTTTCTGGCTGTATAGTTCTCCAAGTGAGATCCACAGTAGGCGGCGTGGCCAGGAGCTCGTAGCTTTCACACCACAGATGCCATCCATCTGCTCATTTACTTCCTCCCTGTCGTCATAGAGGGGCTTCCTAAGGATGCCCGGTGGCTGGAATGGCATGGGGCATAGAGTAGTCACTCAATAAGTATCTGTGGCCTGAATGAACCCCCTCCATTCTCAGAAGGAGGGCAGGGCCAGGCCCAAGGTTGCGTGGGCACGGGGAGGCTGGACCCCCTCCTTAGAAGCTAGCCCCCCCCCCCCCCACTTCCTTCGCCTTTTAAGCTCTGAGTGGTTTAATTTGCGCACTGCTGCCTTTCATGTCCCGAGCCTCGCCCCGGCTCCCTCTGATCTGCCGGCCGCTGGGCCCCACTGCCGCTTGTCCGCACCGCCCTGCCCAGCCTGGATCAGGAGGTTCAGTAATTGTGACTGATTTTCAAAGCAGCCCGGAGTTCCTGCGTGCGCCCGGCTGTCAGATCCGCTTCCCTTTCAAAAAAGTTGCTCAAATGAAATAAACTAATTTAATTTCTGCCTCTTCCCTCTCCCTCTTGGGTTTTCCCGGCTTGTCCAAATTGAGTCACCCGGCCTTCCTTTCTTCTAAGTGTGATGTGGGAGCAGGCGGGCTGGGAGAGGGAGGTGCGGCTGGAACTCGAGCCAGGGCCTCCCACGATCCGTGCGACCTTGGATGAGCCGGGCCCCTCCTGGACCCAGTGTCCCTACCTGTGAAATTTAAGGATCCTTGCACCTCTAACAATCCGGGGGGAAGGAGGGGGGGGACAGGCGGGGGCAGGGGGGAGCCCAGCCGCTGAGCATTCGCAGGCTTCCCAGGGACTGGGTGCATCTTTCCCTCCCTCTTGGCCTGAGTGTTCCCATCTGCTCAGTGGGGACATTGAGACCAGCCCTACACTGGAGCCCCAGGGAGGGACAAGTAGTGATGGACAGGAAGTAAAGGACAGACAGGCCACTGCAGTGGCTGTGGGAGGAACCTGTTCTCCATTGTGAGGTAGTTTTTGTCCTATTGGTACCGGTTCTGAACCGTGAACTCAGGGCCTGGGCCCTGTCCCTGAGTTTTTTCACTCAAGGCTGGTGTTCTACCACATAAGCCACAGCTCTACTTCCGTCTTTTTGGTGGTTAATTGGAGATAAGGGTCTCACGGATTTCCCTGCCCATGCTGGCTATGAACTGTGATCTTCGGATCACAGCTTCCTGAGTAGCTACAATTACAGGCATCAGCCACCAGCGGCATCTGGTGTCACGGACTCCCTCCCAGCTCTGAAGGTGAGCAGCACCTTTCAAAAGCCAAGTTGGAGCTGGGTGCTGTTGGCTCATGCCTGTAGTTCTAGCTATTCCTAGCTACTGAGGAGGCTGAGATCTGAGGATCGTGGCTTGAAGCCAGCCCAGGCAGCAAAGTCTGTGAGACTCAGATCTCCCACAAATGACTCAGAAAAAGGCAGTGCCGTGACTCAAGTGGTAGAGCGCTAGCCTTGAGCAAAAAGAATCTTAGGGACAGAGCCTAGACCCTGAGTTCAAGCCCTAGGACCAGCAAAAATAAAATAAAATGAAAAAAGACAAGTTGGCCCGGGTCCCTCTTGCCTGTTTGCTGCCTGCTTCCCTTGATCCTTTCAGATATGGACTCCATTTCCCCCTTTAGTGACAGCACTCACCACCTTCCTGGTAGTCAGTTTGCAGTAAACGCAGACAAGACCAGGTCTTCTTAGGGCAGAGTTTAAGTGAGGAGTGGGGCTGCAGAGCTGGGCTGGGGGAACGTGGGCCGCCTCTGGCTTCCTGTGTGACCTTTGACGTGGGGCCTGCCTCTCTGAGCCCATTCCTCCATTTGCACAATCAATTTCTGCATTCTTTCTGGATTCGCTCTGTAGTTCCAGGTGCCCTGGCTGCTGACAACCTCCAAATTGATCTCAGCCACCCAGACCTCCCCACCGAACCTGCCCTCCCAGCCACTGCCTGTTCAAAGACCTTCGCTGGACTAGCAAGGAAGGACTTCCAGCCCAGCACGACTGAAACCACACCCCCACTTCCCCTTCATCTCCCCGTCTGCTCCTCCTGCTCAGCAAATGGAACTCATGTAGGTCAAATCTCCACTGTTATCTTAGAGAACTTCCCCCCGCCCCACACCCCCAGCCCATTAGCAAACACTTTCAGCTCTGCTTTCAAATGGTAGCCACAAAGCCAACCTCACCTCCACACCTCCGTGGGTACCACCGAGCTCCAAGTCACCACCACAGCCCATCTTGGCAACTGCCCCAAGCACAATCCAGTCCTGGCCCTGTCCGACCACATCCAGGGAGCAGCTGCACGAAGCTGGCAAAACTTAAGCCAGAAGCCAGGTGTTGGTGGCTCACACCTGTCATCCTAGCTACTCAGGAGGCTGAGATTTGAGGATTGCAGTTCAAAGCCAACCCAGGCAGGAAAGTCCATGACACTCTTATCTCCAATTAAGCACCAGAAAACCAGAAGTGGTGTTGTGGCTCACGTGGTAGAACACCAGCCTTGAGTGAGAAAACTCAGGGACAGGGCCCATACCCAGAGTTCAAGCTCCATGACTGACCAAAAAACAAAACAAAACAAAACAAAAAACTTAAGCCAGATCAGCTCATGCTTCTGAACAGAATCCTCCAGCTTGCTCAGCATAAACAAGCAAAGCCCTGGTTTTGATCATTGCGGTATAATCTGATCACCTTGCTGCTTTTCTTCAACCCCAGGGCCTTTGCACACACTGTTCCCTCTGCCCGAAATGCTCTTCCAGGGCCCATCATCTCATTTCCCTTCATTGCTTTAATGTCACATCCTCACAGTCATTGATTATGTCACTGTCTGCCTGTCTTAGCTAGAGTATATTCTTCACAACCTCAGGGGGGATTGTCTACTATGGCCCCAGTGCTGAGCACATAGTAGGCATTCAACGAACAGGCACTAAATCAATGGATACATGAATACACTCCAGCAGATGCACAGCATGTCACAGGAATAAATGCACAGGTCTTAAATGGCCCCCGTCAAGTTGTGCGTGTGCACACCCATACTCGAATGTGGGCAGCACAGGTTCCCCGAATGCACAGGTGCACCATTCTCCTGGTGCCCTTCATCCAGCCCTACCTGCTGGCCACCTTTCCTCTATCACACTGCACGACGCACACTGCCCACAAGGCATCAGATCAGGGAACCTGGGCAAGCTGACCTGGAGGCCCCTCCCCACAGAACTCTGCCTGGCCTCTACCATGCAGCCCAACAGCTGGAGGTCCAAGAGAGGCAGCTCTGAGCTGGGGCTACAGCGGGTTGCGTTGGGCCTGGTCTAGGACCTATGCTGCTGTTCCTTGTGCCTCTCGGCTGACCTGAACTCAGACATTAGGGCAGAAGGTAGCAGCTTACTGGTCACCCCATGACTGCCAGAGCCCAGGAGCCCAGGATAAGGGGGCCCCAATGTCTAGACAGCTATCTGGGTCCCACGGCCTCTAGTCTCAGAGCGCTGTGGGTGCCCGTGTTCTGAGTGGGCTGTGTCTCGTGTCTTCTGGCAGATGGGTGTTTTCCTTCTCTACTTGTGCAGCTGTGTGCTGCAACGCTGGTTACATACCATGCCCGCAGATGTGCTCCCGACTCTGTGTCTGGGCCTCAGGGTCCCTCAGGGCCCCCCTGGAACCCCCAGCAGTGGGTCTCAAAGAAATGGGGCTTCCTTGAGTGCAGTGAGCAAAGCGGTCTGCGTGGCGATCATGCCTGCTGGTCCAGGCTGAGCACGGGAGTGTCTGCCCGGTGCTCTCCCCGTGCCCAAGCAGGTGGCTGGGCATGCTGATGCTGTGTCCTGTGTGGCTATTATATCCAGGTAGAAGTGGTGGCCAGGTGTGAGGCCCGACCCCATCGAGGCTGGGGCTGGTGTTTAGTTCCTTGTGCCTGGAGACAGAATGGCATCTGAGTGGGAGTGTGTCCCGGGGCAGGTTGAACTTTCTAGAAGGGGCACAGTGGCACCTGTGTGTGTGTGTGTGTGAGATGGTCTGGAGGCTGTCTGTGTGTGAGGTGGTGTCTCTCCATGGCTGTGCACTTGTAGGTGTGTGTGTGACCACGGGAGAAGTGTGTCTCAGTGTCCATGTGTGTGTGGACCTGGCTGAGGTCAAGGGGGTGTGTGGCTGGGCCTGTGTCTGGGGCTACGTCTGGCCTCAGTGGACACCTGGGTTCTGGTCTACCACTACCACCACTTCTCCCCCTCCCCAGGCCTGGGGCAGCACATCTGCCTATTCTGTGGCTCTTGTAGGCTCTTAGCAGAGCTAGGCAGCCCCACGGTGGGGAGAGGAGGGAAGAGGCCCTGCCTCCTCCACCTCAGGCCCCGCCCCTCCTCCACAAGCCCTGCCCCTCCCACCCGCCCCTGCTCTAGGTCCGCCTTCCCTACATCAGGCCCCGCCCCTGCCCACCAGGCCCCGCCTTTCCCGCCCTAGGCCCCGCCCTACCCTTCAGGCCCCGCCTCCTCCACCCGGCCCCGCCCCGGCCCCGCCCACCTGTGGGCGAGAGCTCCGCCACGCTGCCGATGTAGGGGCCGTGCAGGAAGCGCGGCTCGCTGTCGTTGATGTCCTGCACCTTGATGATGAACTCCGACTCGGGCTCCAGCAGCCGGTCGGTGGCGCGGTCTCGAGCCTGGGCCCGCAGCGTGTAGAAGGTTTTCTGCTCCCGGTCCAGGCGCTCCATGGCGTGGATGTCGCCCGTCAGCTCGTCGATCAGGAAGATGGTCCCGGCGCCCTCGCCGGAGATGGTGTACTTGATGGCCCCGTCACCCTCGTCGGAGTCCGAGTGGATCTGGGGAGGCAGGGAGGTTGGCCGGTGGAGGCGAAGGCGGACCCCAGGCCTGCCGAGCCCGGGCTCCACTCTCCCTTCTAGAAAGGTCTCTGGGCCTGTCCCCCTGGCCGCCGCCTCAACACCTCGCCCAGCCTTGCGGGAGGCGCGCAGTGCACCTGGCTGTCCCGGCCACACCCAGCCCAGACGCAGTCTGGGTGAGGGGGGCTTCCGGTCTGCCTCTAACCATGCCAGCGGCTTCCGGTCTGCCTCTAACCATGCCAGCGGCTTCCGGTCTGCCTCTAACCATGCCAGCGGCTTCCGGTCTGCCTCTAACCATGCCAGCGGCTTCCGGCCTGCCTCTAACCATGCCAGCGGCTTCCGGCCTGCCTCTCTAACCATGCCAGCGGCTTCCGGTCTGCCTCTCTAACCATGCCAGCGGCTTCCGGCCTGCCTCTCTAACCATGCCAGCGGCTTCCGGTCTGCCTCTAACCATGCCAGCGGCTTCCGGCCTGCCTCTCTAACCATGCCAGCGGCTTCCGGTCTGCCTCTAACCATGCCAGCGGCTTCCGGCCTGCCTCTCTAACCATGCCAGCGGCTTCCGGTCGGCCTCTAACCATGCCAGCGGCTTCCGGTCTGCCTCTCTAACCATGCCAGCGGCTTCCGGTCTGCCTCTCTAACCATGCCAGCGGCTTCCGGTCTGCCTCTCTAACCGTGCCAGCGGCTTCCGGTCTGCCTCTCTAACCGTGCCAGCGGCTTCCGGCCTGCCTCTAACCGTGCCAGCGGCTTCCGGTCGGCCTCTAACCATGCCAGTGGCTTCCGGTCTGCCTCTAACCATGCCAGCGGCTTCCGGTCTGCCTCTCTAGCCATGCCAGTGGCTTCCGGCCTACCTCTAGCCATGCCAGCGGCTTCCGGCCTGCCTCTAGCCATGCCAGCGGCTTCCGGCCTGCCTCTAGCCATGCCAGCGGCTTCCGGCCTACCTCTCTAGCCATGCCAGCTGCTGGCTCATGGCGGCTCTCTGGGCTCTAGGATCCAGGGATATTCGCGAGGGGGCTCAGGACTTGGGGCAGCGCGTGGGTGAAGAGTGGAAAGGGATGGCGGAGGACAGGGATGCTGTTGTCGCGTGCCTGCCATGCACCAGGCATTGAGCTGAGCCCCCTGCATACGCCTTACACCAAGACTCTTTAAAACAAACCTTCCTTTTCCTACAAGGATGAAGTGGGAGGACGCGCTGGACCATACCAGGAACTGTCTGGCTCCGGAATCTGGGCTGCCTCATTCTGCCCTAAAGCTCACAGAAAGGGAGAGGCAGTGCAGCCTGGCTAAACCATGGCTTGGGCATCCGCCTTTGTACAAGTTGCTAGGTCTCTCTGGGCCTGTGGCTTCAAGTGTGACATAGCAATCATAACAGCATGTCCTCCTGGAGGAGCCAAGGGGCTTCCTGAGTGACAGGCCCCTAAGGCGCTCGCTTAGCAGCTGCCTGGCACAGTGGCACATGCAATAAATATCCAAGAGCCAGCGTGGCAGGGTGTGTCCCATGGAGAGGCCAGCAGAAGGGAACACTCAGCCAGGTAGGCGCAAGGTGGACTGGGTTGAGGGGGGGGGGGAGCTGAACATTGGGGTAGAAAAGAGGAAGGACTGTTTATACAAATATGCAAAGACTTATGCAAATACTTTCACCACCAGTACAACTCATCTGTGCCAGCTGAAAACCTGCCCTGTCCCACACATAAAAAGCGTGCAATAGGTAGTAACTTTGTTATTATTCTTATGAGATAGTCATTCAGTATAACTGCAATTTCCCTCTGGTAGTGCTAGGTGCTAGACCCCAGGCTGTTTTCACTACACTGAGATGGGGGGGAGGGGTAGGGGAGGACGGGGAGGAACCAGCAAGAAATGGTCTGCAAAAACAAAACCAGAAAACAACAACAACAACAAGCCTGGCACTGGTGGTTCATGCCTGTAATCCTAGCTACTCAGGAAGCTGGTATCTGAGCATCAAAATTCAAAGCCAGCCTGGCAGGAGAGTCCATGAGATTCTTATCTCGAATTAACCACCAGAAAACTGGAAGTAGCCTTGTGGCTCAAAGTGGTAGAGTGCCAGCCTTGAGCAAAAGGAGCTCAGGGACAGCGCCCAGGCCCTGAATTCAAGCCTCACAACCAACAGAAAAAATATATATCAGTGAATGTCCTGTTGCCCTCTGTGTTTCTGTGGAGATGGGCATTAAGGAGACCATCTCTAAGACCCATTTTTGGGTCCCCTTGTCATGAACCCAATCCCCCCCCACATACACCCCAAGTACAACTGGTGCCAGGGAGCTGGGGATGGGGGAGGAGAGCCTGCCCCCTGCCACGAGGGAGGAACCGGGGCGTAAATTCTACTGGTGGAACTTGGTGTCTGAAAGGTGGATTATAGAAGTGCCATTTGGAAGATTGAATGGCTCATAAACATTTTCATATTTCATTAGCCGATTAATGGGCATCTCTCTCCTTTTTGGCGAGTCTGCTGATTCTCAGCAGAAATCGCGGGGAGTAAATGGAGGCGTCGGGTGGAAGCTTTCCGGGTCCCCGTCCTGTTATAGATTGCCCCAATTAATGCCCGTCCCGAGCTCCACTGAGAAGCCTTCTTCCTGTCCAGTTACTGTTAATAGATTTCTCATAAGTGGCTGGACTGTAAAAACCTCATAACTCAGTTTAATGCCCCCAATAAAATTATCTCAGGACGTCGGCCCTGAATCATCGGCGGTGGCGAGGATGAGATCTGTCTCTCCTTCTCACAGTTTCTGCTCTCGATCCTCCTTTGGTGGGGGGTGGGGGATGGGGAGATGGAGGGAGGGGTTCTGCTCCACCCACAGACCTGTTGCCTGCTGAGCTAAGTGGCACACATACGTGCTACACCATGTGTAAGGACAGATGCCACCGGGGGGGGGTGGGGTGGGGGGAGGGGGACCGCTGTGTTCTCACTGGCCACGCACCCTGCCCCAGGAAACACAGCTACTACATTTCTGATGTGAAACACAATGCACAGAGAGGGCAAACCATTTGCTGCATGGCACAGCCCTGCTAAACTTCAAACTCCAGTGCTCACCGATTGTCCATAGTCTGCCTCTGAGCCTGGTTTTCTCACACGAGGAATCAGATCGTGCATGACCTGACCACAGGTAAGGAGTTACTGAGTGCTGAGCGCTCTGCCACCCAGGACCCTCTCAGTCACCTGGGTCTCCATGCCTGCCCTGCAGCCCTGGACATTTTCACTCAGCTCTTGGGCAGGCGGGACTCACTTCTTGGGGAGGAGTGGAAAGGAGGGAAGAGGAACAGGGATGATGTCATGGATGTTCTTCTGTGAAGCATGATGCTCGGGGAGCTCACGCTGGGGTCCCAGGGGCTGCTCCCTGGGGACTGCAGAGTCACGCAGGGCCGAGCGGCCTGGGTGGGGGAAGCAGAGCTCAGCACTGTGGATCTGAGCGGGGCCCGGCTCTGCCCCTGAGCGGAGAGGGCGCTTGGCCCTGTCCTCGCTAGATCATTTCTCAGCTGTAAGCTGAGCAACAGCTGAGGGTCAGACGTGCCACAGACTGTCGGCAAGAATTCTGGCCTGACTTGGTGGAGTATGAAAATGGATCTGAACTTGCAAGGGAAGAGCCTGATGGGCCCGGGGGGGGGGGGGGGGGAGGGAGGTCCCTGGGCATCAGCTCGGTCTGAGTAACACGTCCACAGCAGAGGATGAGGGAGGGAAGAGGGAAGGAAGGGCTGCAGCTCGTGGCTGAGCCACAAGGCAGCGGAGTGGCCACCTTGACACCAGTCTTGCCCTGACTCCGATGGGCCACGGCCATCAGTGGCCTCTTCTTGCTGAGCTTCCATGTCGTCATTGGGAAAGGGACCTCAAGTCACAAATCAAGAGGGAGAGTGGCCTTGAAGTCCAGAGTTGCTGCCGCCAGCATTGGCTCTGCCAGGGACCTGTTGCACGGCCCGGACAAGCAGCTTCCTCCATCTAAGCCTTGCTTTCCCCATGTGTAAAGGGGGCCGGCATCGCTTCCCCACGGGCTGCGAAGATCCTGAGATGTATGGGGGCTCCTGGCACACGTAGGCGCGCACCCCCCTTTCCCTCCCTGGCCTCAGAAGGGATTACAGCCATACCCAACTCCCTGCACAGGACCAGACGCAGCCCTGGCTCGCCGAGCAGGGGCCTCCGCCAATGCCTCCCACCAGCCCCGGGCCCTGCCTGGCACACGCACCTCTCTCCACACCCCCCGAGCGCCTCATGGTGGCACACCTCTGTCCCCGGCTGTCACAGACCACCGTGGGCTGTTAAGACCAACTCTGCTGAGCACCTAGTGCCCGGCACACGCCAGGCACACTGATAGCAGCCGCAGGGAAAACACAGGTGTGGGAAAGCTGAGCATGTGCTTGCGTCATGCATGGGCATGTGTGTGTGTGCACATGCCAGGCAGACACACGTGCAAATGTGTATCGCAGTGTGAACCTGTGTGCATGGGTGTGAGCGTATGTGTAAATGCATTGCATATGCAGGCACACATGCGTATGTGTGGATCTGTGAGAGTGTGTGTGACATGTGTACACACATGTTTGCATGTACACACATGCATGAATTATGCATAGCCAATTGGCTATGGCTGTGTATACATGGGTGTGAGAACATGCATATGTGTGAATGCATTGTGTGTGTGTGTGCACGGGTGTGCACACAGCATGAGGTTGCACGCTCCTTGTGTGCAGAGCAGATGGCTGTCGGTGCCTACCCCTGCAGCACCCAGCCCAAGCCTGGCAGCAAACGCTGAATAAATGAGCACGAACACCACAGCACCCTCCTGGGATTTCAAGAAGCTGGTCTGGGCTCTGTCCCCAGGCACGTGAGCTGAATGGAGAGGATGGTTACTGAGCACCTGTAATGTTCAGGAAAGTTCTACACTCTGTACCATTTATCTCTGGATGTCTTGTATTGATCCTGCAACTGACTCCCAGAGACCCAGAGAGGGCCCACATCCTACCCAAAGTCACACAGCTCAGAAGGACACCCAGAGGCTGGGGGACATAGCCTGGTTCTTAACATGGCATCTAGTATGCCTATCTCCCTCCACCTCCCCCCCCACCTGCCAAGGGCCTCGGTCATAAACAACAGGAAAACACCAAAGTAATGGCTTCCCTTCCCAGGGGGCTGAAAAGTGGGATTTACAAGGCCATTAATTACTTCCTCCTAATTAAATCAAAATTAAATGCGAGCAGAGGTACGTTTTCCTTATTAAAGACAATTAAACGGACAGCGAGGCTACGCAAATAAAACGAGTCTGGGACTTCAATGGAAAGCAAAACGAGTCTGGGACTTCAACAGAAAGCAAATCAAATAATAATAATTTTTTTCCAAAAAAGCCTCCCCCAGAACGCACGAGGTCTGCTCATGCCCCACGTTCCTCGTAAACCAGGAGTTCATCAATTTTCTTTAAATATTAGCAACTTAATTAAATCTGCGCTCCTCCCCACTCTAATCCCGCCGTAGATCTAAAATAGAGCTCACCGCCCACAGAAGTTGGTCATAAGTGCTGACCCTATAATTCTATCTTTAAATTTTTTTTTCTTTAAAAATCCTACAAAATCCACATCCAGCTTTCCAAAAGCCTCAGGGGAAATTACAGTTCGGAAAAGGGATTAGTCCAAGCACCCGGATCTTTGGAGGTGCTGGGGTTGCCGTTGGAAGGTCCATGGCGGGGGGGGGGGGGGTGGCCGGGGGTCTGAGCCACGGGGGCCTGGGCGACCGCCGCCCAGCTTCCTGCGGGCGCCGACAGGAGCCCTGCATGAGTGATGGAGAGGGAGGCCCTGTGAAGTAGGTTACGGTGGGCGCCCGGGGTTCACTCAGCCTGGTGCTGTTGCTAAGCTACCTTTGCAATCCGACAAGGACGGATGCTCAGAGCAGCTCCCTGGAGCGGGGACCAGGAAGCCACGGATACACTGAAACCACGGAGAAGTCCTCTCTCCTTGAAGAGCGAGGAGCACAGTACGAGTGTGTGTATGTACGCCTGCACGCACACATGAGCACACACATGAACTCCTATATGGGTGGCTCGATGGACAAAAAAAAAAAAAAGCCCGGGCTCACATGTTGAAGGTGATGACAGTGTCCCTCAAATTAGTGGCGAAATTCTGGGGTGCCAAGAAGGCTTTGGGGTCCCAGGGCAGGCTTCCTAGAGTGTGTGGGTGCAGTGTGCACACCAGGGTGTCCAATTGTGGACACGTGCCTAGCACAGAACAAGCCACGGGGCTCTGCTAGGTTCTGACTTGGGGAAACTCACCACAGTCGTTTGAGCAGGTCTTAGCAATACCCTACTCCACAGACAAGAAAACTGAGGCACAGAGAGATTAGAGATGTGGCCAAGGAGACGGGTTATGAGCAGAGTGGGTGGGCAGGCCCTGGTTGTCCCCCGAACCACACACACAAGACCCCTTCAGGAGGAAGTGTGCTTGGGGAGTTGAGGGCAGTGCCACACACACCTGTAATCATGGCTAATACTTGGGAAGCAGAAATGGGGAGGATCGTGGTTTGAGGCTAGTCTAGGCCAAACATTAGTAAGACTCCATTTCAGCAACTAAGTTGAGTCTGGGGGAAAACACCTGTCATCCCAGCTACCAAGGAGACACAGTAAGAAGTTCCAGGTCTGAACAACAACAATAAAAAGCATCCTATCTGAACAATAACCTAAAAAGGAAAAAATTGCTGAGGGTATGGCTCAAGCCGCAGAATGCCTGCCTAGCAAGGATGAAGCCTTGACTCCAACCCCAGTACTGCAAAATGGAGAGGAAGGGAGGGAGGGAGGAAAAACGGTGTCAGGCAGATGTTGGCAAAAAGACAGGGACTTCTCCCTCCCTGCAAACCCTGCTTTCTTGTAGGGGGCCTGGAGGATAGGGAGCAGGAGGGAGAAGCGGGGAGCAGGAGGGAGAAGGGGGGAGCAGGAGGGAGAAGGGAGAGCAGGGGAGGGAGTCAGGGATGGAGGAAGATGTCCAGAAACCATAAAGTACCCAGACGTTGCCAGCGGCTTCAAGAGGCTACAGGGAGGAGGGAGAGGCCCCAGGGCCCACCCGGTGCCCTGGGATTCTTGACTTGAAGTGGACAGAGAGCTAGCGTCTGGACACTGTGTCCTCTGTATGTGTGTGTCAGTACTGGGGCTTGAACTCAGGGCCCAGGTATTACTCCTGAGCTTTTTGGCTCAAGGCTGTCACTCTACCACTAGAGCCACAGCTCCACTTGCAGCTTTTTGCTGTTTAATGGGAGATAATTAAAAGTCTCACAGACTTTCCTGCCCAGTCTGGCTTCCAACCATGATCCTCACATTGCAGCCTCCTGAGTATCTAGAAGGACGGATGTGAGCCACCTGTGCCTGGCAAGGCATTGCTGTTCTTGGTTGATGCTACTGCATGTAAGCCATTTGGCTTTGGCACAACCTTTTCCCCCAGGCCTCAGTTTCCCCTTCAGACCAAGGCAGGACTTAGTGGGCCCTCCACTTCCAACCAAGCCTCAGCATGGGCCTGCCCCTGCTGTGGAGATGAGCCAGGCTGGGGTGTGCAGATGCAGGGAGCAAATCATGGGCTGCTTTTGTGCCTTTCTCTGGGATTGTTGGGGGTAGCTTTGACCTGAGGTCAGAGGCCCTCTCGGTATCCCTGGGGTTCCCCTGGACCCTCACTTTTCCTCAGGCTGTGAGACCTCAGCCAGGTCCACCAGGCTTGCACCCCTTTCTCACCGGGGGGCCTCCAAATCCCCAATCCACTCCCACCTGGGCCTCCTCATCCACAGGGGGGAGCACCGACCTCTGCCCCCCATAGATGGAGGATTAAGTACTTCATAGGCGAATCATAAAAACGAACCTTGAACAAACAAGGTGCAGGCCAGCCGCTCGGGATGCTCTGTTTCCTTTAACCCTCTGCAGCCTCAGGAAGGGGGCTCTTGAAACCCGTGGTTAGAGACAGGGAGACAGAGGAAGTTGATGAAGGCCGAGCATGGGAACCGGGTAGCAGGACCGGCCTCAGACTCCATGTCCTGCTCCAGTGCGCCTGCGCGCTGAGCTACTTGCCATGGGCTCACCTCCCTCCTTCCCCACCCCTTCCCCGGGCCCCCAGCCCCCGGCCCCTGGCCTGGAGCCTGCAGCCCCTGACCTGCCACTAGATTGCTGGCCAATCCTGGGCAGAGGCCCTAAGCCCTCCTGAGCTACCTCTGTCAGATCTACAGATTGCTCAGATCGCCATGTCTAGACCACGGGAAAGCTGCATTTCCTATAAGCAAACATAAAGGTTTAGCGTCCAGACCTTTCTCCTGTGAAAGACTGGTCCCCGAGCCTCTGAACCACTGGCCATCAGCCCTGGATTCTTAAACTCATTTCAGCACACAGGGATTCTGGATCTGGCTTCCCAACTGCCAATCAAAACCTCCTGCAAAGCTGATTGGCCTTATTGCAAGTCAGAGACCACCCACTTTCATCCCACAAGCACTCCACTGCTGATAAATCCCTTCATGAGGCAGGTCTCCAAGTCCTTGCCCTCTTCTCCATTGGCTGGATGAACTCCTACTCATACCTCAGACCCTGTTCAGGTGTTTTCTCCTCTAAGAAAGCCAGCCAATGGTACCTTCCTCAGTGCCTGTGCAGTTCTGGGTGCTTATATGTGAAGGGTTTAATTCTATACCAACATCTCTGTCATTCTGGGGACCCCCAAATGACAGAGGCTGGGGCACCCTGCTAGGAACAGGAATCGAATGAATGAATGAACGACGTTCTTCTCAGCCTCAGTTCTTTGCACTTGCAGAGCTCAGATCTCCAGCCTGATCACCCAGCATTTTCTCAGAGAGTTTGGGGAGCTGGCTTTCATTCACTCCTTCCTTCCTTCAGTGGACAATACGTGAACTGCTTCTGAGGGTTTTAACAGCAGAACAAGCCCAGCCAGGCAGACAAGACTCACAAGATGCACATAGCCAAATCCAGCCATGCGTAATTAAAGCCCAGGGGGTGGGGACCAGGGGCCTCAGGGGACAGGTGAAGGATGGGGGGCCATCTACCTGGGCCTGGGGCTTCTCTGAGGGAGTGGTATTGGAGCTGAGGCCTAGTTTGAGTGGAAGGGGTCTGGTGTGCAGAAGCAGGAAGGAGCAGGTCTGGAGGAGGGGGACAGGGTGGGCGGAGGGGGGCATGGCCTGGCACAAGGGCATCAGTGGGACAGGAAGGCAGGGGGAGGGAACCCCTGGTCAGTTTCACCAGTGGCTCAAGCCTGTCATCCTGGCTACTCAGGAGGCTGAGATCTGAGAGATGATCCAAGTTCAAAGCCAGCCGGGGCAGGAAAGTCCATGAGACTCTTACCTCCACTAAACCACTAGAAAACCGGAAATGGCGCCGTGGCTCAAGTGGTAGAGTGCTCGCCTTGGGCTGAAGAGCTGAGGGGCAGCGCCCAGGCCCTGAGTTCAAGCCCCACCACCGACCAAAACCAAATTAGACTAGAATGGCCAAGGAGGGCCGGGCCCGCGTTACCTTGCCCACGTAGAGGGGCTCCGTGCCCGTGTACTCTTCCACCACGAAGAACTGGTTCCACACCCAGCCTCGCTTCACGCGTGCGGTGCCCGGCGCGCCGTCCTGCGGGGCGCGGGTGGGCGTCGGGGCGGGGGCCGGGGCGGGGGCCGGGGCGGGCGCCGGGCCCGGCGAGGCGCCCAGCAGCGGCGGCAGCAGCAGCAGCAGCACGGGCGGCAGCGCGGCCCCGGCGCGGGGCGCACCGTCGGGGCGCGGCCTCATGCTGGGCGGCGCGGCCCGGCCGGGGAGCGGGACTGCAGGCGGCGGCGGGCGCCGCTCACATGGCGGCCGGGCCCGGCAGGCTGCTGGGGGCCGGGGGCGCGGCCGGATCCCCGCCCGCGCCCCCCGGGCCGCGCCCCGCCGCGGGGTCACCAGGCGCGGCTCCCCGCGGGGCCGCGCGCCATGGTCCCCGCGCCCGCAGCGGCCGTGGATCCGCGGGCCGCTAGGCCCGCGCCCGACCCATCCGAGCCTGCGGAGAGACAGAAGAGCGGGGTCAGGTGGGGGCCGGGCACCGCGACCCTGGGCTCCCTGTCCTGGACCCTGAGTGTGTGACCCCAGGGCCCCTCCCTGTCCTCTCCCCACACCCTGCCCCTCATCCCAGCCCGGTCCCCTCCCTGCCCCCCCAGGGTCCCCTCCCTGCCCCCCCAGGGTCCCCTCCCTGCCCCCCCATCCCCTCTCTGTCCCCTCCCCCCTCAAGGTCCCCTCCCTGTCCCCTCCCCCCCAGGGTCCCCTCCCTGTCCCTCTTCAGCTCCCTAGAGGCTGGACTCAGAAGCTGCCTCCTCACCCCTCCCAACAACACCCTCCCCCTCCTCCAAACTCCACAGCTTCTAGAAGGTGTTGGGACTCCCAGGCCAGGTGCAGGGGCTCACGCCTGTAATCCCAGCTACTCAGGAGGCTGAGATCTTAGGATCAGGGTTCAAAGCCAGCCCCAGGAAGAAAAGCCCATGAAACTCTCATCTCCCATGAACCACCAGAAAACCAGAAGTGGTGCTGTGGCTCACGTGGTAGAGTGCTCTTCTTGAACTGAAGAGCTCAGGGACAGCGCCCAGGCCCTAAGTTCAAGCCTCAGTACTGACACATGCACTTGAGCGCGCGCGCGCACACACACACACACACACACACACACACATACACACATACGACCAGGTCTCCTGGGAGCAGAGGGCAGCTGGCCACCACACCCCATTTCCTGGGCTTCAGGAGCCAGGGGGGGGTCAGGGGGGGATGGCAGCCTGGAAGGCCCTGGGTCCTGACCCTCTGAGCTTGCCTGGGGTGTCTCCAGCTCCTGCCCTCCGCCCCCCCTTCCCCCCCACTGGAGCAGCCCATCCACCGCTCATCCATCTCCGCTCCCCTCCTCCAGCCCCTGCTCACAGCAGCCCGGATCTGAGGCCTCGGGCCTACTCCAGCCATAATGATGAATAATGGCTTAATGTGGGTGTTTACGGGGCCGCTATGGCTTTGGGCTTTCGGCTTCCATGGAGGAATTTCAGGGGGAGAGGAGAGAGTGAGCAAGGGGAGAGGAGGGGCCCCCCTCTGTGCCCAGCTTAGCTGGGCTCCTTCCACAACTCACACCCAAGAGGCCTCCCCTCCATCAGATTTGGCCTGGATGCGAGCGAGCTCACAGGTCAGTGAGGTAGGCTGTTACCCTGTGTGAGAGGATGTGCAGAGGCCCGGGGCTCAGGACAGGGCCTGGGCACAGGTGTGTGGAGGGGCAATCACGGCTGCTTCCTGGAGGAGGTGGCATCTGAGCAGCCTGCTCTGGGGTGTTACCTGGGAGGGCAGGAAGCGACCTGAATCTCTGCACTGGAGAAATACAGAGCATGTCCTGTGTATTTTTTTTCTCCCATGGGTGACCTAGCTGGTGGGCTGATATGAAGTCTTGATAATGTTTTGCCCAGGCTGGCCTTGAAGCACAATCCTCCAGATCTCCTCCTCCCAAGTAGCTGGGACTACAGGCATAAGGGTTCTAGAGATACGAGAGTATCTGTTTAAAGGTAAAGGTGGTGAGGAGACATTACTGTTGCATTTCTGGCCATGGGTGACAGAAGGGAGGAAGAAGGGAGGGGAGGGGTCCCCTGCCTACTGTGGCCTCCCCCTCCCTCCAGACCTCCGTGGTGCTGCTGTGAGCATCCAACACCCATTCATCTTCCCCCATTCTGTGTCCCCCCTACTCTGCAAACCCCGCTCCACACAGCCGCCCCTGGGGATGTGGTTCCCGCATGGAGGCTGAGGAGGGGGTGCGTTGTTCTCAGCCTTCATTTCCTGCATCTTATGACTTCCCTAACCAGAGCAGTTCTCTGGGCTCAGCCGCAGAGTCCTGCGGGGAGGCGGGGAGACCCTGGGGGGGTCATAGGAAGGGCGGGGGGGGGGCCCAGAGTAACAGATTTCCCACCTTTCCTCCCTTTCTCCCACAGGCAACTCAATCATTTCTTCATTCTTCAAACATGAGCAGGCATATCCCTCATTCATTCACACGGAGCCTCATTTCTCTGCGCCAGGCAGCAAGATCCAATCAGTTCTTGAGAGAGAAGCTTGTTTTCTGGTTATTCATGAACTCTTCCCAAGGATCTTTGGGGGCCCTTCCCATAGGCCAGGGCCCGGTGCCCAGGAACAAACAAATGGAGCCCAGGTCCGCCCAGAACTGCCCCTGGGGCCGGGAGACATTTACCACCTAATTCAGGGGTGGTGATAGGGAAGAAGAAACATAAGGCAGGGAGGAGGGGGAAGGGAGGGAGGGATGGGGGACGTGATGCTGGGGCAGTGGCAGGCCTCTGGGAGAAGGCGACGTTGCGCTGGGTCTAGAAGGATGGAGGGGAGCCAGGCAGGAAGGTGTTACGCAGAACAAGACATGCAGAGCTCTGGCTTGCTGCAAGGAACGGAGGTGCACCTGGAGTTAACACAGAGGAAGACCTGGGTGTGTGAGATGTGGGGTGCTAACAGGAGTCTCCAGGGCCAAGGCTGACGGTCAAGCCCCTACTTCAGAGAGGGGCGGAAAGCAAGAGTAGCGTGAAAGGTAGCACGGCAGCGGGGTCCAGTGGCTCACGCCTGTGCTCCTGGCTACTCAGGAGGCTGAGATCTGAGAATGGAGGTTCGCAGCCAGCCCAGGCAGGCAAGTCTGGGAGACTCTTATCTCCCATGAACCCCCTACAAGGCCAGAAGTAGAGCTGTGGCTCAAGTGGAAAAGCTGAGGGACAGTGCCAGGTCCTGAGTTCAAGCCCCAGTACCTGCACATATGCACAAATAGTGGCATAGCTATTCCAGGACTCGAGCAGAGCCTTGAACCCAGGACCTGGCCCCCCTACCCCCTTAGCCTGGGGCATCTTGGGGGAGGGGACGGAGAACCTGCCCTGTGGGTGGATGCAGCCCGTTGCTGGGGTGCACTGGGGCAGGTGCTGCCCCCTTGTTCCTGGGCCCCCCATCCTCACCTCTCCTCCCTTCCCCAATCAGGCTTGGTCCTTGGGCTGCTGGCCCCGTTTCCTGGCTGTTGGCCAGCTCCTCGCCACTCCAAATAGCCTGGGCTGTCTCCCCACCCCTCCCGGCCTCCCTCCCTCTCCCACTCCACCGCTTCTCCAGGGAGAGTCAACCCTAGGCTGTCTGGAGGGCTGGCTGAGCAGGGCGGGGCCGGCCCAGGCTCCTGGGACTCTGCCAGGCCCCAGACATGTTGGTGGCTTTCCCAGGGCCGCAGGTCACAACCTCCTGCTCGGAGCTGTTCCATCCCAAATGGGATTAAAGAACGCAGCCGCCCAGCGGGGCTCAATGCCTGTTGGCTTCGCTCAGCAAGGCAGCTGCCCGACCTGGGGCACGCGTGGCCTGTGTCCCCAAGGGTCACAGGTACAGAGCCGTCTCGGGGCCTGCGGAGGGAGGGCTGAACGGAACTCATGGAGAACACTGACGGACATTCCCGGGGGGCTGGGCCTTCCAGAGGAACTGGGGGGGGCATCTGCGGGCAGGAGGCCAGCTCTCTGGCGACTGGAGATCGGGGGCCTGGAGAATAGGCCGGCCTCGTGTTTCATCTCTTTTGCACACCCTCGCTCACCAGTTTATCTTCTGCCATGCTACGGCAGCCTCACCAGATGCCACCAGGGTGGCCTCTTGGACTGTCCAACGTCCAGAACCATGAGCCAGAGATAAACTAACCAGCCTCGGGAATTCTGTGATAGCCACAGAGAAAGGACCAACACAGTGTCAGATGTGCTCATCATCATCACCATCATCACCATCACCATCACCATCATCATTACATCATCATCATCATCATCATCATCATCACCATCATCATTACATCATCATCACCATCATCACCATCATCACCACCATCATCATCATCATCATCACCATCATCATCACCATCATCACCATCACCATCACCATCATCATTACATCATCATCATCATCATCATCATCACCATCATCACCATCACCATCACCATCATCATTACATCATCATCATCATCATCACCATCATCACCATCATCACCATCATCATTACATCATCATCATCATCACCACCACCACCACCACCACCATCATCACCATCATCACCATCACCATCATCATCACCATCACCATCACCATCATCATTACATCATCATCATCATCACCATCATCATCACCATCATCACCACCATCATCACCATCAGCATCACCATCACCATCACCATCATCATTACATCATCATCATCATCATCACCATCATCATCACCATCATCACCATCATCACCACCACCACCACCACCATCATCATCATCACCATCATCATCACCATCATCACCATCACCATCATCATCACATCATCATCATCATCATCACTATCATCATCACCATCATCACCATCAGCATCATCACCATCATCACCATCATCATCACCATCAGCATCATCATTACATCATCATCATCATCACCATCATCACCATCATCACCATCATCACATCATCATCATCATCACCACCACCACCACCACCATCATCATCATCATCATCATCATCACCATCATCACCATCAGCATCATCACCATCATCATCACCATCATCACCATCAGCATCATCACCATCACCATCACCATCAGCATCATTACATCATCATCATCATCACCACCACCACCACCACCACCATCATCATCATCATCATCACCATCATCACCATCAGCATCATCACCATCATCATCATCATCACCATCATCACCATCACCATCATCACCATCATCATCACCATCAGCATCATCA